CATGGAAGTCAAGGAAGCTGAGACGGCTCCACTTCATTAAGTACGGTAAGTTTGCTACGTCTTGCGCGTGTGCGACGTCTGCTCTGGCCGCGCCGCCGAGGCAAAGCTCCAGCGTCTCCCTTATCGCCGCATCGTGTGCGCGCGCATAAGGCGCCACAGCCTGCGGGGGCACGGTGCGCTACGCGTGATTGGCTCGCGGTGAGGCGCACATCGCAAGGAGAAGCCACGCGCACTGCAGATCAGGGAGCTGCGGGAGCTGGTGCAGCAGTTCCCTGTCGGTCCTCATTCGCTGCGCCGCCCACGCCGCCACGAACTGCGGGTGGCCCACGGGGGTGCCCAGTACGACCAGCCCACGCTCTTCCAGTGGTTTGTCACCGCGCCACACGTCCGTCCCCAGCTCAGCGACTCCGGGCGGAGGCGGACCGCCGGCACAGCTGTACACTCGGGTCTTGCCCACGTTGGAGGCTATGCCGCATTCGGCTTCGACGATGCCGACAACTGTGTCGCGGGCGGCGCGTGCTCGCTCGCGTGTTGTCAAAACATACAGGTCGTCGAGGAACGCAAGCAGGCTGTCCGACGCATGAAGGGCGGAGGTGGCTTCAAGAAGGGCTCCATGCTGTCCCAGTGCATAAAGGGCCGGGGCCAGCGGATCACCCTGCTCACAGTCTTCGCCTTGGGCGACGTTGCGGCAATTGCCCTCGTTGGGAGCGACCGCTGCCCCAGCTTCTCTGCACAGCAGCAGCAGCAGCAGCAGCAGCAGCAGCAGCAGCAGCAGCAGCAGCAGCAGCAGCGGCAGCAGCGGCAGCAGCAGCAGCAGCAGCAGCGCTCGAGAGGGCCTCCCCCGGCCCGCAAAATGCCGGAGCGCGGGCAGGCGGCAAGGTGGTCGCCGCAAGGATCGAGGTGTGCGCGGCAACGGCATCTGGCAGAGGTTAGTGGCAGAGGCAAACGAAGTCTGCGAAGGAGGATGGCTCGGAAGAGCCGCGACTCCAATGAGAACTCCGGCAGGGTGGGAGTGAGAACGCGCGCTGCATGAGGCCCAGCCTGCGAGTCCAGCAGGGCGGCCGAGGCAGCGTCGGTTTCCCGAAGGAAGGCCCTATGGCAAAAGTCGTCAACGGCTTGGGACGCTCGGGCGTGACGCGCTGATTGCAGGGCCAGCGGGAGTGGCCGGTCAGAGGCGAGAGAACCGGCACACATGAAGTCGGGGTCCCGGCGGGCTATAGTGCGCAATGCATCAGCCCACGAAGCCCTGTAGGCAGCTGGCGCATGCCGTGTCGCACTGCGCAAGCCGAGGCCGCCGTGCCGCAACGCCAACTGCGCGCGTGCTTGAGCTTGTTGAGGCATTTGCGACCCCTCATCGGCAAACAAGAGTGAGGCAAGGCATCGGATGACTGCACCATCGTGGCCGTGGCCTGCCGCGTAGCCGTGTGCGCTTTCAAGCGGAAGGGTGCGGAGGGCATATTGAGCACGCGGCGCTGCGCAACAGGAGAGCAATGGCCATGCAACTTGGGAATCATGGAGTGCGGGGAGGTTGTCGAGGAGGCCCCGCTGGCGGGCCAGGACTGCATGCAGGTGGGCTTGGACGAACGTCGGAGTGCCACGAGGGACGCCAAGGGCCACAACACCGCGCCCTGCAAGTTTGAAGCACTTCAATGACCTAGCCAAATCGCACAATGTCCCCCCATTCTACTTCAATACTGACATCTCTCTTTTTTTTGCACGGACCTGTTTGCACCCTCGGTCGCAGTCGGCGGGCGCAGGCAGGCTACGTCCTACAAGGAAGAAGCGAAGGAGACGCCACGCAGCCCGTGAACGAAGAGGGCGAGCCTCACGGAGCGGGGAGACGACTTGGGGGCACTGCTTCGGCGCCACAGGCATCGCCAGTAGGTCGCCCAGTGGCGGCTCGGTGCCGTCGCATTCGTCCGCTCCCGCCAGGGGCAACTCCAGCAGTGCGTAAGCCAGTGCGCGTTGTGCCGCCACGGCCAGCATGCCCATCCATGAGTGCAGGGAGGCACGCTGCACGGCCGGGCGGAGCCGCGCAGGCGACTCGTAGGCACGAGCCTTGGCCAGTTTCCGCAGGAAGGCAACGGCTTCTTGGCTAAACCTGCCCCCAACTTCAACCAGCTTACAGCGGCGGGCGACTGCCAGCTCCGGGCATCTGCCTCAGAACGGCTCTGCTGATGGCTGATTTTTTTTGGACTGCCGACAGTGGATTCCCATCTTACCACCTACGGTTGCGTCCCAGCGCCGAAGGATGCGCGGGCCGGCTAGCGTGGGAGCAGGCGGCTGGCGAGGACATCCTCCTGCCACCGAGCATCAGCGAAGACCTCGTGTAGGTCTGGCCTGGTGCCCTCACCAGACACGGCAGCACAGGGGAGCTCAAGCCACGAAGCGGCATACGCTCGTTGCGCGGCTGCCGCCAACAGCTGGCCAACGGGTCTGACCATCGCGCAACTATGGCTGACGGGCGGAGGTGAACGGGGACGGCCTCAGCTCGCTGGCGCGCCTACAGACTGAGCAATTGGGCAACCTCGCGGCCGAACCTCCCACCTACCTCGACGCCGACTACCACAAGGCGGCCGTCGAGCTCCGGGTACGTGTCGCGGCGCTTGCGCCTGGCAGCAGCCTCAACTGAATGGCCCGGTTGGACATCGGCCTGCCAGGGGACGCACATCTCCGGCCAGAGTCTCGGGAGCTCGTTTGGGTCCAAATACTCATGGACATTCCTTTGGCCCAGCATCTTCATCCTCGCACTGCTGTCACCAATCAGATTCGATCTGAACATCAAGTCTGGCAAAGGCGCGAGTCCTCCAACCCGGATTCTGTGTGGCCCAGGTTTCCATGCACAAGCGTCTGAATTCTGGCAAATTTTCCTGGGCCGCTTGGATTTTTTGTTTTTTACCCGCAGAGATCAGCCGTGGCTGGGCATCGACCCGACGCGTAACTGGCGAGACCATGGTGGCATCGAGCACGAGCTGGGAGCCATGCCATAAAGGGAGACCGGTGGTGACGACCTCGATGCGCCGCTCGTCGCTGACGGGCGCGTCGAGGTTCATGTCGGCCAGGCGAATGTTCCGTGCGACCCGCGCGCCAGCTTCGCGGCACACTCCAGCAATTGCGTGCTCGAGTGGGCGGGCTCGCCAGAAGTGGTGCAGGCAGACCGATGGTCGTCGAGCGGGTCGAGCAGACCGCGGCAGCGGCAGTGCGGCCCGGAAAAGGGCGCTCGGGACGGCGAGGTCGTACCACGTCGCCAATATTGATTGCACGAGCAGCAAGGGGCCCAGCATGCGACAGCAGCAGTGCTCGGGATGCAGAGGAAAGATTGGCAAGATGCACTTCGCACGTGCATGCATCGCTTGCTCGGACGGCAACCCGCTGCCAACCCCGGAGTGGGTCGGCAGGCTCCTCGCCATGTCCTCGAGCAGGGGGCGCGCCAGCCCCTCCACTGACTGCGGCCCAAGGTCGGTGCGTCAGAGCCGTCATGGCAAACGCGCGCCCAAGCTTGTGTCGCGCCCGCAGCGCACGGCAGCGGGACATCGCCGTGGAGGGGGTGCAGCAGGCGGTCAGCTGCGGCTTGTGGTTTGGCAGCGGATCACGGCGAGTGTGTCGCACCATGAGGCCCTGGCTCTTTAGTAGTTGCGGGATTGGCATCGCATTCAGCAGAGCTTTGCCAGCGACCATATTTGAGTGGAAAACCAAGTCCGCCACCCCACTTGCGCCCCAGGATGTCGAGGCCCAATACCACATCATCGCGAGCGAAGTGTCTTTGTTTTTCCTCCTCGTACTTGCATGCCGGCCTTGCGACGAACAGCCGGTAGCGGTCTGTTCCTGGTTCCGCACAGAGTCGAACTGCCACAGAAGCAAGACTCTGCAACCGACAAAATGAAGGCCTTGCAGGGTCCATGTTGTCCGGACTTCCCCACAGCGGGGTAGCGAGACCCCACTGACGATACTCACGACCCAGAAGTGCCGTTCGGAGAATTGCTGGCGGGCAGCTCGCGACCGGCCCCCAGCCGGCTGGCGTAGCCACGTTTCGCCTCGCCCCGTCCTTCTGGGCTCATGGTTGCTTGGTGATGCTTGGTGCGGACGGAAAAAGGTGCGAAAATAAAAAATCCGAAGTTGGTCCCGCAGGGGGCCGGTTTCTTAATGGGACCGCGGAGCAGGCGACAAACGATGCCAGGCACAGAGACCACTCGGGCTGCTTGACAGATCCTACGAAAGCAGCGGCTAGCAATGGCAGCCCTCAAGCTATTGTCTATGCTGCCGACACCATGCATTTTCTGGCAACCCCGGCCCGCCTTACACCGTGCTGTTTATGCAATTGCATCGCATCGAGCACGCACGTTGCAGCCATCGCCCTTTGGCCGATGGGCGTGTAGCCACACAACAGGGACTTCGCGCTGTTTTGGTAAATTGTCCCTGCCGTTTCTGTGCCCTCAGCATTGCTTCTTTGGCGCATGCTTTGATTGACTGCTTTGCACACAAATGAGACAAATGAGGGACATGTCCGTAAACGACCGCACATCACGGCCAAAAAACCACGTCTCTACAATAATCCAGCAACCAACATCAAATCCTTCATTGTTCGGAAGCAAGCATGTGACACATCATAAATACAAATAATGGTATCACGCACATGCCTGTTCCGACGGCCACGTTCAGAGCACAAGTTGCTCACATCTAACATGGTTTGGCGGTTATGCAAGTCAGCCACGACTTGAAAATGTCAACACGTTCCGTCACATCAGGAAGAGCATTGATTTCGTATCTGAACGTTTTATGGCTGCCGACACATGTGACATGTGAACAGCAGTGAATGTGGCTGTCTGAACGTCAACACAAGTTGCGTAGTGCAATAGCATGCCTGGTTCCGAAACTCAATCATTTGATTCTTCTCTTTTCGCACACGTTTTTCACAGCCTGTACGAACGCGATCCCAGTGCTGCTGCAGTCTACGGTGCGCTGGCGTTGAGCCCCTCATGCACAGCCGGCTCGCCGACAGCACACGCGACCGGTGTTGAGGGGAAGCTCGAGCAAAGAGCTGGTGAGTTTGTGGCACTTGATAGATGACATGGTGAGCGACCGCACCGCTGCAGTTCGCATCGGGTCATGTGTTTCTGACGTTTGGGATTCTAAGTGGTTTTCTTTTCAGTGTGCTTATCAATGGGCTAGCAGCCGCAATCAAGCGGGCTTGTCGGGGTGTCGTGTGCGGCTCTGAGCATGCTGCACCTCGTGTCCAAGTCTTGCTGTATGCAGATGACATTGTCATTCTCAGTGACAACGCGGACGACCTGCAAAGAGCACTGGATGCAGCATATGCATGGGCTAATGCTTGGAGATTCCACTTTGGTGTCGGTCCGACCAAACCAGCTTTTGTAGTTTTCGGTCGCAATCGTGCCGGTGTTCACCGTTTCCGTTTCCATATCGGTGAACACGTCCTCCCTCGTGTCAGTACGTACACGTACCTCGGGGTCATTCTTCATGAGCGCCTGGTTTGGACGCACCATATCAATGAGCTGCTGTGCCGCGGTGAGCGCAAGCTGGCGGCATGTGTTTCGTGGACCAGCTCAACTTCACTGCCACTCCATGTTGTGGAACGCATTTTCCAATCGTATGTGCGACCGTCAGCTTGTTTCGGGTTGGAGTTCGTACCGCAAGGTCCCCAAATCCGGCGTTTTCAAACTCGCCTGTGCAAGTGGGGTCGGCGTTTGCTCGCTTGGCCGAGTGGTAGCCCTCGCATCGCTGTCCAGGGCCAGCTCGGTTGGCATGATGCTGACACTCTGCGTCTCTCTCAAGCGGCGAGTCTTTGTGCGC